ACCAGCTAGTCACATACTTAACTCCCACACTTAATATTTGCTCAAATAACTCATCAGATACCTTCCCTAACCGTTATTTCTAAAATGGTGCTTTCCCTTAGTCTCTATCCCCTTGCCTTATATTTCTTCTTAGCATTTATCACCTGACAAATATTTATATATTTCATATTTCAGTCTTCTATCACTTGACTAAATTCCATGAGGACAAGGAATTGTTTTGTTTACTGTATCATCTGCACCCAGTACAAAGCCTAGTATTTGACATTTAGGAAGTGGATATTTACTGGATTGATGAATGGCAGGATTTTAACTCAGGTTAGGCTGGATCCAAAGACTAGGGTACTTTTTTACTGTAACCAACAACTATTGGAGCCAGATCTACTGGCTATCAAGCTATCTTAGATTTAGAATTAAGAAGTTGGGTGGTTTGGAAAAAAAGCCAAGAATTCCAGTCTAAGCTGAAATTCTGCCTCCAGCCTAAGCAGGGACTATGGAGGTCAAATGACCAGGAAGCTCAAGTGCAGTAAAACAAACTACAAAAAAGAGAGAAGAAATCCTAATATTAATATGTAAATAATTACACTGAACGTCCAGTTCTAAATGTTATTGCTTTGTTCCAGACCATGCTGCTATGTACGTATGGACCAGCTTGAATCCAATCACAGATGGGTGGTTTGTTTTAGGGACAAAAAAAGTCAAAAGCAGAAGAGGAAGAAAAGACATCAGAGACTCCAAGAGGCTAGGAAACAACACTAAAATGAAAAAGCGGCAGATCACAAAAAGCAGTCCTTAGGATACCATGTACTGATCATACCAACCACTGAAATCTAGGTGCGATATAACATGTGATTAAGAGTGTGGATTCTGGAACCAAATGGCTGGAATATAAACTCCAACTCCACACTCACTAGTGGTGTGACCCTTGACAAGGTTTGTAAATTTCCTGTGCCTTAGCTTCCTCATCTGCGAAATGGAGACAACACTATGTATCTCATAGGGTTTTGTGAAGATTAAACAGTTAATATAGTATGTTTACAAGTCAGTGCTATGTAAACGTTCATGATTCTATTCTTCCTGTACACAAGAAGACAAGACAAAAAGGAAGAGGAGGCTTCAGACCACTCTGTAGAATCAGTGGGCTGAGTAACAAAAAACAGCCTAAAAGTCATGCGGTTAGGCTAAAAGAGTGTTTCATATGCCTATACATCCAGATTTTGAGCAGTCGTGGAAATTTATCAGGGTGCCATCAGCCTCAGTGCCCAACCTTTGTTGGTTAATGACATCAACCTAGATGACAGCCAGAGCAAAGTTAGCACATTCTTTAAGATAGCAGAATCCAATTTGGCAATAAGGTCTAGATCAGTCAAGATACCATCTGGACCTCTAACACTACAACTTCTTATCATCGAGTCATTTTTCATCATATTTGTCTTGACAGAATCACTAGGCAAGTTACCTCAATGGTGCCAGCTAGCCCATAATAACTGCAATTCTGCCTCCAGCCTAAGCAGGGCCTATGGAGGTTAAATGACCAGGAAGCTCAAGTGCAGTAGAACAAACTACAAAAAAAAAAAGTGAAAAGAAATCCTAATACTAATATGTAAATAATAACATTGAACGTCCAATTCTAAATGTTACTGCTTCGTTCCAGACCACGCTGCTATGTATGGACCAGCTTGAATGCAATCACGGATGGGTGGTTTGTTTTAGGGACAAAAAAGTCAAAAGCAGAAGAGGAAGAAAAGACATACGATCAAGAACAGCAGCCACAGATGAAAATCAAAGGTCAGAGTTCATGTCCTAGGTGGTGTTTACCCATCTGTCTTAGTTACAATTACATGTAAAGATGATCTTGTAGTTAACAGTATCCTAAATTTACTGAGCAACTGAGGAAGTGTATTAAATACAAAATAAAACTTTTGTACTCATCCTTTTTAATCTCCACAACAGCTCTATGAATTAAATATTATCTTGCGGTGGGGGGAGGGGTTTGGGGAGGCTGGGTGAAAAAGGTGAAAGGATTAAGTAGTACAAATTGGTAGTTACAAAACAATCACGGAGATGTAAAGTACAGCATAGGGAATATAGTGAATAATATTGTAATAACTATGTATAGTACCAGGTGGGTACTAATTAGGGGGATCACTTCATAAATTATGTAAATCTCTAATCACTATGCTGTACACTTGAAACTAATATCGAATGTCAATGCTAATTGAAAAATAAAAATTTTTTAAAAGTATTATCTCCTTTTTAAGATGAGAAAGTAGAGGTTTAACAGATTATTTTGTCCAAGGTCACATCCAGGAAGAACAAGATCTGGGATTTGAACAGAGGCTTATCTGACACCACAGTATATACTGTATTAACTACTCTTTACCACCAAAAGATAAGCAAGAATACACTCTTGGGGTGGAGGTGGGTTGAAAAATGAATAGGTGAGAGGATACTATGGGCTGAGCTTCAGAGAGAAAGAGTTAAGATAAAAATCTAAGGCCTTGTATTTGTTTTTCTGATAGGAAACTTGTAGATTTAGCCTTGAAGTTTGTGTGTTACTTTACTAATTTACATTTAATTATAATCCAGATCTAGAGAGACAGGCACCTCTCTGTTACTAATTCCACAGAAACCAAGAGAGATCAGTATGTGCAAATCTGAGAAAAAGGACCACAGCAATTTAAAAGCACAAACACCAAAGAAGCTGTTTTTATCAAAGGTTTCAAAAAGGACATACAGAGATTGATCTACATAACACACACACACACACACCCTATTAGTAAAAGAAAGTAACAATGAGATTTGAGGGGGTAGAGTGTAGGGGTGAGTTTAGAAGAGGGAAACCTTAATAAGCCTAAAGGAGGTGGAAGTCTGAAGTAAAGTTATAAAGATCTCTAGAAAAAGATATTAACTAAATCCTTAAATGAAAAATCAGACATTAGAACTCAGAAAGAAAACAGGAATCTGCAGTGATTAAAATGAGGAATGTGTACCTCATCTTATGCAAATATATGAAAACAGATTCACATAATAGATAAATCAGTTATTACTCATGTCCCAAAAGATCCCATACAGTACAAAACAGTACAATACAATAAATATACTAATATTTTTAAATAGCAAGTTTCTATAATTGACATTAATCCCATTGAAAATTTAATTCATATGTAACTTTTGAATCTCTGAATGAGAAAATGTTAGACTTTGTTGCAATTTCCAAGGTAACTTGTTGAATAGGCCTATGTTCATCAGGAACAACACAGAGGAGATCTGGAAGTGAAGAGGAAAACTGAAAGAAAAAGGAAGTGGTAAGAGATGGAAGTTGAAAGTCAAAGGTAAAATATAAAGTCATTAAAAGCAAAAATTAAAAAAAAGGCAGCTTGAAGGAGAAATAAAGTATTAATGATAAAGGAAAAAACAGGTACTGACGGCATTAATCTCACATTACATAGAGCATCTTTTCTAGCTTGTTCCATTTTGCAGTGGTAGTAAATTCTTCCTCATTTAAGTCTTGAAACAAAACTTTAATGGTAAACTAAAAATAAATATTCTAACAAAAAAGCCCTAGGGTACAACTAAGAAAATAGAGTATTTTTAGGAAAAGCAGAAGAATGATGCAGGATTACTCTGTATGAATTAGTATATAAAGAATGCAACTAGTTGGGGCATTAGTGCCATTCCTGTTGAGATTGGAGTTCTCATAATGGACAGTAGAGGCCATAACAGATTAAATTCCTATAGAGGAACCACCCATGGCCAAGGAAGAAAAATGATAAAATGACTCAACTTCGGCTCTCTAGTCCCAAGCTATCTGGAAGTGTTAGGTACTGGCCAGAGACAAAAGCTATAGTGAAGAGGGAGCAGCTCAGTCCTGACTTCAAGTATTTGCATTCCAAATCTGTGTTACTTTCAAAACTGAGTGCAGAAGCTCATTCAATCCTTCATGGTAGTTTACTAGATAGCCCAAATCTCTGCAGCAACCCTATACAAAATATTCTCAGAATACATGGGAATACAAAGAGTTTTCAGAACACTCCTTCATTAGGCATAAATTAGAAATGGCTAGTTCCATTATGCCAAGCCTTTCATTTGCCGTTTCCCCATGCTCCTCCAACTCGCAGTGGTGAGGTCATTATCTACCTCTCACAACATAGACAGTACCTGACTTTCAGGAATCAGAGCATCTGTCCCCTCATGTAGACCTCACTTTCAGACTCCAGTGGTCCCATATTCATTGTACTGTAATCTCTTTCCAGACAATATGACCATTCCCATTTCCCCTCCCTATAAACGGCTTCTTAAAGAAATCATTTATGTGGGCAAACAGGCCATAATATTGGTCAATTTTATTACTTAATAGCCACATTTCATGTAGTGACTAGTACTCAATTCTTATAGTCCTGCAATGACCTCTCCCCCTTTATTTCCCAATAATTCCCTTTTAACAGCAGATTCTTCTAGATGGACTCTATTATACTTCAAGGGAACAGTACAGACAATGTTAAGTCAAACAGATGCTACTCTACTTCTCAGGAGGGCCTAAAATCTAACCATTCTCCTTCTCATGTACCCTCACTCTAACACAAACAGTACACCATCTACTTTAAATATCAGTTGTCACATTGCTAAAAAGGTAAAATTCAGCAAATTTTACTTCTAGGAATATATCTTAAGAGATACATGCAAAAAAATTATGAAGATACAATGTTCAAATGGACTTAACCTAAATGGCATCCATAAAGAATGGCCATTTTTAAAAGAATGATGTAGAGCTATAAATTCTAATATAGAAAGATGTTCAGGATGTTAAGACAAACTGCAGATTCTTAGTATTACATGAGCCCACCGAGAGAGGAGAGAGAGAGACAGAGTCAGAGATAGAGAAAACAGATTAGGTAGGTAGGTAGGTTGATAGGCAGACAGACAGATAAGAGGGAGAAAACTTTTTTGCAATGATTACCGCTAAAGAGTGGGACCAGGAGGTAAGGAGAAATAGTTATACCCTTTTTATTGTTTGAATTTATCACCTTGTGTATTACTTTCATAACAAAAAAGCTGGTTTTAAACTGTCATTTAACGGAAATGATCAATTTTTAAAGCAAGCTGAATAATCACAATATTCTATTGTGAACAGATGCAATTTTTAAAGCAAGCTGAATAATCACAATATTCTATTACTATACTAATTCTTACTAATTATATAGCATTGGCACTATAAATATTTTTTGGACCTAAGAAAGTCTAAGGGGTTTTCTGTTGATTTAAGGATCTGAGATTACAAAACTGTAAAAACTCATTTCTATAAATTTGAATACTCTAAAAAAAACCCCTAACTCCATGTAAAAATTAGTAAGTGTAAATTTATAGTAAATATATTAATAGAATTCTATGTATCATTTGCAGTAAACAAGAGTCACAGATTTAGATTCAGAAGGGACCTTAAAAGTAATCTAGTCCAACCCTCCCAGCCTAACAACACTCAGAATAGAGAAAAAACAAAACAATAGGAGCCTGCTGAGGAGAGAGCTGATTTCCCAGAAGCTGACAACCAGTTCTAGAAATAAAATCACAAATGTCCTTCTAAAATGGGGATATCTAGTAACATTCACTAAAAAAATATTTTGGCCTAATACGGCAAGTTGCCCAGGTCAGTTTTAAGCTAGTTTTTTGACTTAATTTTCCAGTTTCAAAGTTTTCGATTTGTTTCCAACCAAAAGAAATCAGACCATGTTGCAGGTTGATTTTAATGAACAAAAATCTCTGTATAAAAACATTGAAACTTTATCAAATGCTTTAAACACACACACACACACACACACACACACACACACGCACACACCCACCCACCCACCGAGAGATCCCAATCCAATACATAATCTTTGAACATTATCTTTTTTTTACCTCAACATAATGTGTAAAGGGATTTCTGGATAAAATCTTACATGTGAAAAAAGATGACACGTAGTTTTACACATGTACATACACGCAATCACTCTTTACAAAGAACGAAAACATATGGTAAGAATGTGAATGGGATCGAAATGAATATCTTGTAAAGCTTAAATAAGAAAACATTACATGCCTAAAAGAACTTCTGATACCAAGAGAAGATGTAGAGAGAGGGAAGAGAAAATAAGGGGTAGCCTTTCTCATTAATAGCTTGAGAAGGTCATTCAAGAATAATGAATTTGGGGAGCTATAGAAAACCCTAGTTTTTACCACCTCAAATTCCGTGATCTGACATCTGATGATGCTTTAAAAGAATTTATGTTTTCATTTTTTGTAGGTCTTGATTTGTTCACCATTATTTAGGTTTGGTTTGTCCCTATCAGTGGTTAAATACTCAGTTCTCATTCAGTGTCATATCCTATTCATCAGAGAAGCCACAGTAAGAAATGATGGCAAGCACAGAGTACTGCAAGGGCAGTAATGGATGGCAGTTAATAAGAGCCAGACTGCCTGGGTTTGGATTTCAGCATTACTACCTGCTAGCTGCCTGTTATTTAGCAAGCTATTTAGCTACTACATGTCTCCACTGCCTCTTCAATCAAGAATAATCTTTAGTCACCTCTAAAAGAGGATTTAAACAAGATAGTCCATTTAAAGAATTTATCGAACTGTTTGGCACAAATAAATACTCCAAAAATGTTAGCTAAAATTACTATTAGTCAAAGAATTACAGGGAAACCAAAAGAAAATTTCTATTCTATCTCTGTATTTCTCCTCTTCGATGAGGTTTTCAGAGGCCAATTGTAGTAAAAAGCAAGCATGTTTGATGCAGAGATTAAGGATTTAGTCATATGAATATAGATGTTCACTTTTATATTAGAAAAAACTTACACAGCTCCATATCACGAAATTTAACATCTTTCCATTAAACATCACACAATTCTCATCATCATTATGCCCTACATACACCTCAAATGATATGAAGTTTCTACTGATACTCAACAACAGGGTCCAGAAATCTTAACTAAGAAATAGCTGCAGAAATGTGTGTTGGGCAGTTATCTGTGTGTGCCACAAGAGTCTGGGCCAACACAGATGGCTGGGATTCTGCCTCCATGGCCTGGACTCCCTCGGGTCAGGTTCCTGCAGACCTTCAAATCTCCATGTGTGACCCCTTCCAGAGGGGAGTTTCCAAGAGGTGAAGGAACCAGCAGCCACTGAGAATGAAATGCCTCCCACCTACTTCAGTATAATATGATAGCTATCATTGGTTTCTGCTGTAAAAAAAAAAAAAGAGAGAGAGAGAATAATCTTTAGTCACCTCTAAAACAGAGTAGGAGAAAATATATGGTAAGATTCTTTTGAGAAAGAAAAAAAAGCAGGGCAAAGGCAGCATACTTATTATCACAGAATGCTTATAATAAATATGTATTATAAAAACTACATGCCTCAATTTCCTCATTTGCCCATAGAAGGTGGAAGAGAATGGCAGAGTCATCAGTTACACTTTGTCTATTCTGATAATGGCAAGAAGCCAATTCATACAAAGAAACAACCTCTAATAATGTCACTTTCTCTCTCTCAAATATGGTGGTGTTGGAAACTTTCTCTCCTTTAAGAAGTATGAAAAAAGCTCTTAAACTTAGAGAAAGGCATTTGTCTTACTATTTTATTACCTTTCATTGTATCCAGAATAAAACAGGCTTCTTCCTGAAAGTTCTGTATCATCTAAAAAAAAGGGGGAAAGAAAACTTGATTAAAAAGTTTGATTTGTTCTATTTATTTTCCCTATGTGGCTTTATATTACATTAGATTTAAGTGAAAAACAATACTTTGTTTTGTATTCTCCTATCTCATTTTTAAGTTTTAAAAGCTAAGTAGTCTACAACAGTGATCATAAAATTGGAGTATTTTTCCTGGATTAATCCCAAGACTCTCCAAGGGGTACACAGACACTGATAGGCCCATACAGGAGAAATGACTTCTAGTTCTCCAACTTCCTTATCTATTCTTTTCTAAAACTGCCTGAGAACCTCTGCAGTTTTCCTTTGCCACTTTCCTTTCTCAAACTCCCTTTTCCCACTTTATAAAATAAAGGCATAAGCCTCACTCTCCTGGAATCCTACCCAAGATGCATTCCTTGCCCTGGGGTATAAAAGCCTCAAGGATGCCCAAGTATAACTAAATGTGAACTCTAATAATTGGGTAACAAACTCTGTTGGGAGTGGGAGGGGAGTCACATAGTTTCTAATTATTTCCTTTCACTAGAACTGAAGAGGGAACTAATCACAAATTGTCGAATGACAGATGATTCAAAACAATTTTTGACATCACTATGTAATTTTTGGCATTAACTCAGAAGTTCAAAAAAGACCTAGCAATGGTGTTATAACAAAACTCCGTCTATTCTTGTCTATCAATGAATGTGAATTAGGTTCTAGAGCATTTATATCTAGGGGGGAAAAAAATTGGATGGAATTGACGCTGAACTCTATTTCATTCTAGCAATCAATAGGTAGTATTCATCTACAGATGAATTAACTGTATGTGGGCGAAGGAGTAGGGAATGGAACAATCCTATCCATCTAATAGGTAGATGTACTTCTAATAATTTTTTCTTAATGTTTAATAATTATTTATCAAAATATATAACACATTTATATTGTTTTAATCAACTGTATAATTATGGTGATACTTCTATTCAGAATAATTTTTCAATTTTTACTGAAACAATTATTTTTGTTGAAACATTTTTGTTTCAAAGAAATATGATAATTAATAAAAGATGTTCAAGCATAAAAATAGGTTATGGTAAGATAAAATTCAATGGGGAAAGTGAATGGAAATATAAATTCAAGGAAACAAAAAAATGATATAAAAATTCTGTTAAAAAAGGTATATTCATGTATTTTTTTAAACAGATGATGGTGGTATTAAATCACTCTTATATTTTGGCTACATGAAATACAGTTAGAATAGTGATGTAATTTCTATTTGTAACTGTCCTATAATATGCCCAGAAATGACGTCTTTTGTAATCATTTAAACTTAACACAAAAAAGTTTAAGTCAACCTAAAAAGGTACAAGGATATACACATTTAAAAAAAAAAAATTCTTTTAGGGAGTAAGCAAGCAAAAACGTTTGAAATCCTCTGGTCTAGAAAACAAAGCACTCTGTCCCAGTAGAACTGCTCCTGCTCCAAATTAATTGGCATCTGGTGATTCAGCTGTACTGAAAATCTACCTCATCACTAATGAGCACATGGATTCCTGTTGGCCCCTGCTTGTAGATCTGGCTGATCTGGCAAGGGGAAATGCTGAAAAGCTGAGCAATTTTTTCTGTCAGTTCAACAGCTGTCAGTTCTTCTAGGTAGATGGCATGGTACACTGCAAAAGAGAGCGAGCGATGGCAGTCAGTACAAAGTTTATCTGCTCTTAAAGGTAATCTGATCACTAGGAATGCCCACTTTTCTAAAGGACTCAAGAGCGAAATCCTGAGTTCAAATCCTGATTCAACCACTTGCTAGTGTGTGACCTGGGACAAGTTATTAACCATCCCTATATCTCATTTTCCTCATCTAAATATTATAGATAACAATAAAATCTACTGCAAAGAGGAGATACTTATAAAAATTAAAACATGTAAAAGCTGAGAATATTGCCTGGCACATATTAGAACTCAATAAATGTTAGCTATTACCATTACTTCTAGCAAATGCTCAATCTGCTATTTGATAAATTCCCATCACACATGCTCATAAATCATCTCTTCGCATTTCTTCATATCTGTGATGGCCTGTCCAGAATGACCTACCGAAGAAAGTACCATTTGAGTCTCCATCCTCATGCTTCTGCTGCTGTTGCTGCTGCTGTTGCTGCTGCTCCCGCAACTGCAAGGATTCCTGACAAACATAAATGGTTAGCCTTGGGCGCACCATCCTAAGAAGAAAAAAATAGCTGTTAGTCTTACATTTTTCATGGTAAGCACATTTCAAGGGAAAAATTCATGTTATCTACGTTTATACTATAAAGCATGGGTTGAAAACTGGCAGCCCATGGGGCAATGCAACTCATTTGCTATGTTTTATTAGTTCCCCATTAGTGTATGTGTGTGTCTATATCTTTGTGTATATTTAACTGAATTCGTTCCAACATAAACCTCTAAATTTTGGCTTTTCTTTAAAAATCATATCTGGCAACCCAAAGCCTCATTCTACAAGAAAACAAGCAGCTATTCATCTTGCATGGTGCATGCATTCTTCAGTACACCCCAGACTTGACTGTTATTTACATGTGGCCTCTGTAGTGAGTAATGTTTGTGACTCTTGATGTAAAGGTTAAATGTTACAATGGGGTTACATCCCAATAAACCCATCGTAAGTTGAAAATACCGTAAATCAAAAACGCATTTAATATATCCAACCCATCGAACATCATAGCTTAGCCTAGTCTACCTTAAACATACTCAGAACACTTACATTAGCCTACAGTTGGGCAAAATCATCTTATTGCTGCTACCTAGCATCACGAGATAAGTACTACTTAACGCTAGAGTTCGGGGAGAAGATCAAAATTCAAAATTCGAAGTACCATTTCTACTACTGAATGCATATTGCTTTTATACCATCATAAAGTCAAAACATTGTTAAGTTGAGCCATTGTAAGTTGAGGACTATCTGTATTCAAAATTTGTGAACCACTGTTTTATGGGTCAGGCTCAAGATCTTTTATTTAAAAGTACCAATATAGTAAACTGGAGAACGTTATTTCCTTCATTATCTTCTCCTAAATAGCCTAAGCCTTCTTTCTGTTCTTACTTCTTAGATAACCATATTCAATTACCTCTTGACTTGATCATCTTATTTCTTCCTATTTCCAAATGTTCTTTAGATAAAACATTTTGAAATGAAAGATCCATTCTTTTTCCTCAGGTCAACAACTTCTAAATTTCACTTCTTTCCTTAAAATTTTCCAAGATTACAGCCAACATGATTCAGTATCTCTTGTGATGTACACAAACATTAATACTTCACAATCTGTTTCATTTAGTTACTGATTTGGTTCTATGGCACTGACCTGTTTTTTCCATCAATATTACTAGTAGCTATTGGAAATCACAAATTGGGACTAAAAATTACTCTGTATTATAGGTAATATTTATTTATAAGCAGCCACTTATGCAATTCCTACCCAAACTTAAGAATGATCTCTTCTCTAGATAAAACTGACCTTAGAGCCTTTATACCTATTGTTCCTTCTGCCTAAATGGCTCTTCCTTCACATGACCCCATAGCTTCCATTCTTCTCCTAACTCAGTTTAAATATCCCCCGCCTCAGAGAGATCTTTCCTGACCAAATTCTGGGTACTTTATAGGCCATAGCCTTTTTTTTTGTTTGTTTTGTTTTCCTTCAAAGCACTTCTCTCTCCCCAAAATACTTATTGTTTATATATTTATCTCTCTTCCCATTAGAAAATAAACTCCATGATAATGGGTACCCTATTTTGTTCACTAATGTATCCCCAGAGCTCATAAGAGACAATATTTATTGAATGAAAAAAATTCCTGAAAACAAAAATAATGAGATATCATGAGAAACTCCTTCATGTGTAGGAAAGAATATTTTTCATCTTTGTTTATTTGGAACATAGCTGGCATTCAAAAAGAATGTTTTGACAAGATGTATTTCGTTGTGCAAAGAGTACTGTGAAGAGTCTCTGAATTCAAATCCATTTGAAATCCAAATTCACTGATATTTTAACACTAATTACATACCGGCCTTTTAATGCATTAAAAAGTCTGATTCCGTCTGCAGGGCCACAGATTTGGATCACATCATCTCTAGTTAGTTTCAATAAATCTGCCCCTGAAATAAATATAAGAAAATGGGGGATACAAGCAAAGATTCTGTTTGTTAATGACTATTTAAATGGGCTCCATTACAATGACACCTTATTACTAGTGTATTACAATCCATAACCTTATGCACAGTATATAAGGTCTTCCATGACCTGGGCCCCTGCTTCCTCTCCTAGCTCAATTCCCAACCAATTAATGTCTCCACTTAACCCTATGCTTTCTTCATACTAATGATGTCTTATGAACAAGTTATTCCTCCTGCCTAAACTATCCTTCTACTACTGTCTGATCAACAGACTCCTCCTCATCCCTCACACATTACAAGTTCCCAAACCTCAGGCCCTCCCCCAAATGCCTCACTTTGTACCTACTGTATCACAACTACTTGTTCACTTTTTTCCTGGGGTTTCATTTTGATTTGATTTGGTATTTTGTTTTGTTTTTTTTTTTAATTCTAGATGATGAATAATAAGGAAGTATGCCTTATCCATTTGTGTATTCTTACCATACCTGGTACACCAAAGGTGTTAAGTAAAAGTAGAATGTGCAAATAAAATACGATATAGTGATACCAAGAGGGAAATTTCAGACTACCTGCAAATGTTCCTTAATAAAATACTGTATGGAATATACATTTTAAAAGTATTGTAAAGTATAAATATTTTTAAATTAAAGTGAGTTAAACTAAGGTCTTTCTTTTTAAGTATTACACAGCACAGCTGTAGCTGTTGAGAAAGTCTGAAGGGTTCTATTAAATTCATTTAATCAGGAAAATGCACTAATCTCTCTCTCTCTCTCTCTCTCTCTCTCTCTCTCTCTCACACACACACACACATACACACACACACACACACACACACACCTCATATGGATACCAGGAGGCCCTAGAATGTAAAAGAATATCCCATACTGGGGAAAACAAAAAGGGAAGCAAAATTTAACCTGAGAAGTTTGTAAAAAGCCTTGTGAATGTAGAAAAACGGTTTCGATGCAACCACTGCTGAGCTTCCTGAGGTGTGGTTGTTGGCAAGAGGTTCTGAAAGAGAGAAAGTATTTTTTTTTTTTTTGGGTAACTAAATAGATTCTACTTAAAAAAGGATAAATGTTAAATTAACATCATTAGGTAACACAGCCAAGCACGCCCACACTCAAGACAGGCCTAGTTTGACTGGAAGTTGTTTATACATCAGTCTCCTTTCTCTAACCAAGCAAGATACCCATGAAATTCCACCCTTTTCTTCCCCACTAGACTGTAAGTTTCTTGAATACAAGAGTTCTGTGTTACTTGTTTCAGATCTCTAGTCCCTAGCATAGTATCTAGTTCACAGTCAAAATTCAACAAATGTTTAATAAATGAATGAATACTTCTTAAAAGTTGGGCGTTTCTACTGAATCACACAGACATCAAAGTATTATTAGATATTGCATAAAACTGACATTTAACTTTAGACTTACATCTGTGACTGGAGGGGGTGGCTCTGGCTGGTGGTTTGGTGAACCATTTCTAAAGAAACATTTATAATGAAAGGATGAGTCCATGAAACATACTAGGGTTCATCATCTCATTCTTAATCCTCATAATAAGTCCTAGGCTAGAGATTTAAAAGAATATGTACTTTCTCATAGACATTCTTACTCTTGGACCCAAAACTTCTATTATCTGTTTATTAATGTAAAGATTTCTTGGGGGTCAAGGGAGGGGAACTATCATTTGCAACATTTTTTTTATTTTTGAAGAAATTGAAAAAAAATCAAGATTCCAGTAATTTGGGACTTATTAGATAATTTATGGAATAAAGACTATTTAATATAAATTTATTAGAATGTAAACAAATATCAGAATAGAAAAGCAATCAATATAATACCACTGCATTAAATATATAAATGTACAAACATATACAGAAAAATATTAGAAGGAAATTTATGCAATGAAATAGGATCACACTTTTTATAGTAAAAAATACTTAATTCTTAAAGCAGGTTCAAAAATTAGTGTTATCTAATTTGTAATCCAAAGGCTATCTCCACACCCTTGGTTTTCTCCTGTACTTTCTTTTGCTTTATAGACTGTCCCTCTTCCTTAACATTTACTTCTTTAATGGGAGGAAATGTGAGCCTATAATAAAGTACATGACAAAGAGAAGGAGGGGTGAAACAACTCTTAAATCCTATATAATATTTAAAATTGCTTATAAGTAGACTGAATAAAATAATCCACATGGATGGCAAGAGATTTTTCTTTCAAAAAAGTTTCTTCTTCCTCTTCTTTTTTTTTTTTTTTTTTTGGCCTTAGTTGTAAAATTCAAATTCAGTATTTGAATTTAAAAATTAATTTATCTTAGGGCCCTAGTTATCTATCTTTTCTACAACTTCTACCTATTTTTATTCTTAATTGCTATATTTTGAACATTTAAGCTATCTTTATTAAATACGTTTAGAAGTAGGTTGAACACAGAGCCTAAATAAATTCAAAAATAAACATTACGACTAAACAACATACTCACAAATTCATAGCCTCTTTGAAATTTCAATATGGCCTATGTAGAATACGTGCTACATGTTAGGACTATAAGACACCCTCTTTTAACTGGAGTAGGTGTCTGTATCAACTTTCAATTATCTCTGATAGTAAAAGAGACAATAAGGCAGGATTAGATGCATCTCATAGATAATATCAAAACTTCATTTTAACTTTTATCTTCAACCTTCTTCTACAGATTAGATTCATGATTATGAGGTGTTAGGACCATTTTTATTAAGTAACAAAACAGATATTAGTGTTTGTACAACTTTCAATTCCCAATGACCACTCTATGGTGAAAGTATGATCAGGAAGTGAAATAACCACAAGTAAGCAGAAATAGGAAGAAGTGAAAAGCCCAGAAAAACCAGTCTCTGGATCACAAAAACTGACCATTAATGTGATTTTCTGATAAAAGGAAAAAAGACGAAGAGAAAGGGCAATATAAACCTCTTTCAGTCTCTTTTGAAAGTAATCCAACCTCATTTACTAAATAAATCTGTCAAAAGGCTGACCGAATAGAAGTACTTATTGATTTAGAAAGATCTTATTTATAGAAAGATAATGAGAAAATACACATTTAGGAGAAACAAAAACCAATTTCATTTCCTAGACTTACCCTTCTCCAAGAGAAAAACTGCTATGGGAACTGTTGAAGCCAGGTGATGGGGAATTATTGACATATGTAATTTCGGGCCATGGAGAACACTAAAAACAAAGGACAACTTAATTACTAAAAAGTACATTTGAACCTAGCGGTTCCATCAAAACATTGTTAACTTGAATAGCATATCTTGATTTGTAAAAGTAAATCTTAATTCCTCAGAGGCCCTCCTAACTAAGAGGACAAGTAAGTTCTGAGCAGGTGAGAAGTGATTTTCATTTTCAATTGAGATATAAATGACATTAGTTTTAGGTAAATTACAACTTA